GGGACAAAGGAAGCCCTGAAGTATTCTACGTTATGGAGATGGATAACTGAGACTTTAAAGGAGATGAAATCGGAACAGGCAGCAGTGGTATCTGTTTTCCTGGCCGCTGCTCCTTCACAAAGTCAGTCAGAGGTAGACAAGGGTGCTACCTCTATGGTATTTGCCCCCCCCATTGTGCCTGGCAGAAGCCTCCTCGGTATAAGGGGGAAGATAAAGTGAAACGGCGCTCGCGTCCGAAAGTACAAGTAGAAAGTGCAAACGCGGTCACCTTCGACCTAGAGGAAGAAGACCCCAAATCGGAACTGGACCCAGACCCAGAGTCTCTGGCAGAAGGGGACTTGTACCCTCCCCTTCCTGACCCCGACTCAGACTCAGACGGTTCAGACAGTTCGGCTCGTCAGCAGATGCGAACCATCCTCAGTGATGGTCAACTGTGACAGCTGATGAAGAAATTAGAAGCATTGGAGGCAAAAGAAACCTTCGAACCCTCTGCTCCACCCTCCTACAATCCAGTAGTAAAGAAAGGGGAGTGGGAGGGGGGGGCTGGGCACGGGGTAGGGGATTACGGTAATAACCCTGCTAAACGCTGGCGTGGGATGATCAAAGATGCAATTGTTATAGGGGAATATTCGGCTATGGGTCCCTCAGCATTCCTGGTGTTTAACACTCCACAGGGGGGAAGGAATGGGAGCCGTTGGATTTAAAGGCAGTAAAGGAGGCGCGTCAAGCGGTAACATCCTACGGGTTAAAATCATCGTATACTCAGGCAATTATCACATATTTTTTCTGCATATATCTTAGCACCATAGGATATCCGTATGACAGCTCAATTGTTGCTTACTCCCCACCTTCAGATATGATTTACAGTGAGCACAGCAGAGGAAAAGGCTGGCTACAAGGCTACTGCCTTTTCTGCTGCTGTTAAACCCCTTTTACAATAAGGTTAGAGCGATCACGGGGGTACTAAAGGTATGGGATGTTATAATTGTGGACGGACGGGACATTGTAAAAAGAAACAGTGTGCTGTAAAGACAATCAGTTCAGCAGCCCACCCCCCCCAATAGTGTTACTGGTTTTGCAGATAAATGTATTAGATGTGACAAATTACTGCCCCAGGACACCCCCCTTGTCAGTGACTGAATGAACTGAAATTTGATCTTAGGACATCCGTTTTATGGATGTTTTCAGTCCTTCTTAAGGTGAAGGGAGCAACCTTTTTTACGTTAAAGTAAAAGTTCTGCATCAAGACCTGCAGTGGAAAGGTCTGTGATGGACTGTGGACTTATATACAACTCATTTAATACATTCTCTCTGTGATACTCATGTACTAGAAGCTGGTAAAAATAAGTATGTCCAGGTTTCTATCGACCTTTGGAGACCTTTATAAATACTGCTGGCTACTTCTTCCAACATAGGCTAGCCACCTGTGTCGGAATGAGTGTGCATTTTGGTCAGTATAAAAGCCCAAGCCTCATGCGATGTGGGGGAGGCAGAGCCTCTGCGGGGACGCCTGCTAAGGTTGAGCCTGCCATCTCGCACTGCGATGATGCTTCTCGGAGCTGGTTTCCTGTTAGTCTCCACAGGGTCCTTGTGCCACGTTCTGTACATGGGATTGTGTAGTGGAAGTAACGACTGTTGGGATTTTGTGCTTCAAATATTGTAGTTGTGTGGACTGTGCTTGTGGGATCCCATATGTGTGTGTGTGTGTTAAGGGCAGACGGTGTTCTGTGTATTTTTTGTTGTTGGGTTCATGTAAAAGTTTCTAATAGATAGTAGTTTAACATTTCAGACAAGAAAGGGTTAATGCAAAAATGAGGTTGCCAGCAGATATTTATGGTTGCTGCTGAAGCAGGCAGGCAGCTGTAGCTGCTGCCGAGCAGGCAGGCATTTGTAGCCTGTAGGTTATTTGATAACAGTTTAGTCCCCATGTTCAAAAACAGCTGCCCTCCTATTCGGCTCCCGGTGCTCCACCGGTGGAAGGACCAGGATGGACACCAGAGCTGAGGAGAGAAAAAACAAAACCAAATAAAACAAAACCAAGCTTAATATGTTTAAAGTAACCTGGGGATGAATCCAAGACTTGGAGGAACAGAGAGATCGGTTGAAACAAGAACTGCTAACTGAAAAAGCGAGAGGGGTAGTGCAACCACAAGCCTTACGAGCTGTCACCTAAGCAGCATCAGGGTGGCAGATACAGAACCTATCTACTTCTCAAGAACTGATAACCTGGAAAAGGGGGTATATTTGTGTCCTCCTGCCTACAGGCCCATGGCGAATGCCTGCAAAGTTTGTCAAGCCTTGCCATGAGCTGGACAGACAAGTGGAGGAACCGGATGCCTCAGCTGCAGGAGCTGAACATGAATACCCCAAGCAGAATGAGATAGAGGAAGAGAAAAACCAATGATTGCTAAACATTATTTGAGAGCAACTGAAAAGTAACAGCTTGAATATGTGTGTTTGTAAAATAGCTATTGTTAGAGGCTTTGATTTTGTGTATGAAACCACCTGTATTTACTAGCCAGTTACTAATAAGAAGCTACACCTTGTATTGTATAGATTTGTCACTTGTAAAAGAAATGTTAGAGGATGCAAATTTGTAGTAGCTGCTAGAAAATGCTAAAGCAAAAGATAGAAATATTCTAATACAATGGTAGTGTTATAAAACAGGTAATAGAACAAATTAAGAGGGTGAGAGAATTCCACTGGTAAGAAATTTCTTTGGCTAGTCCCTTGCTGGCATCATCATCTTCAACATGCTGCTGCACCCTGTAATAGTTACTCTGCTAATGTAAACCTGTGTGCGTGCCTTACCATAATAACAGCTTTTTATTGGATGAAGCAGGTGAAACTGCATTGACAACAAGGTGCAAGGATTGAGGCTGGCCAAATGCCTGCTACTATAATCAAGGGCAAGTCTGGGTTGGCCTCTGTGCCTGCCACCAAGAAGAAACTTTAGCTCCACTGTTGGCTGCAACCCAGCAGGCGTGGAGCGGTGGGGACACATGCCATGCAAGACCTTGATGTGAAGGATGGCCTCCCCTGTTACCAGAGAGCCATATGTGTTGCATGAATCTCTCAGGCCATAGTAGCTCTATACACAAGGAGCTGCAACAACTCAAAGACAACTTGCACAAATTAAAAGAAGGTGACTCTTGGGACCTCACCTCTTGGTTAATGTCACTGGGACTAGGATCATGGTTAAGCAGTATTTTAAGCCATTTTTTGCCTGTATGTATCTTGCTTTTGTTTATCTTGATTTGTTTGCCTTGCATTATTCAATGCATTCAGCAAAGCCTTATGAAAATTGTAACAAATATGCTTGAAAAAGAAAAAGGGGGAATTGTGGAAGCGTGGTTACCAGGCAAGGGTTACGTTCCCATGGCTGAACTTGGCCAGGGGACAGTTTTGTAAAATTCAGCAAGAAACCCAGCTCGGTAAAACATCAGCTGTGCAAAAGGATAAGCTGACCTTGTAGTTAAAGAGTATCCTGAAGGGAGGAACAAGGATGTTAGAAGAAGGGATGTAACCACAGGAGTTTCCCAAGAATGTGTGTGTGTAGCAATCTAGCTCTCTATATACCCTAGGCTTAAGCAGAATAAACGGATCACTTCTATCAATCATATTGGTTGTGCTGTGTTCCCTCCGCATTGCGACGACATAGAGTCTCCGACAGCTGCTGGAGGGTAGGAAGCTCTGCAGAGGGATCTGGACAGGCTGGACCCATGGGCTGTGGCCAATGGGATGAGCATTAGGGTTAAGTGTGGCAGCAGGGCCAGGGCAGTGGTTGTGCCCCTGCACTGGGCACTGGTGAGGCTGCACCTGGAATCCTGGGTTCAGTTCTGGGGCCCTCACTGCAAGAGAGACCTTGAGGGGCTGGAGCGGGGCCAGAGAAGGGAATGGAGCTGGAGCAGGGCCTGGAGCCCAGGGGTGATGGGGAAGGGCTGAGGGAGCTGGGGGGTTCAGATGGAGAAGAGAAGGCTCAGGGGGGACCTGATGGCTGCCTCCAACTGCCTGAGAGGAGGATGGAGCCAGGAGGGGCTGGGCTCTGCTCCCAAGGAACAAGGGATGGGACAAGAGGAAAGAGGGGAGGCTCAGATGGAGATGAGGGGCACATCCATCCCCAAAGGGTGCTCAGGCATTGGAACAGGCTGCCCAGGGCAGGGCTGCAGGCACCGTCCCTGCAAGTGTTCACACAGCGTGGAGACGAGGCCTCAGTGCCATGGGGCAGTGGTGGCCCTGGCAGTGCTGGGGTAAGGGCTGGACTGGATGAGCTTAAAGGGCTTTTCCAGCCTGGTTCATTCTAGGATTCTGTGATCCTTTTTGCTGAGGCACCGCTGAACCAGGTATTCTCTGTTGGTGTTCCCTGGGTGAAGGGAGCTGCTCCTGAACCTGGTGAGGTTTGAAAGGTTGTTGTAACGCTGATGGCTCTGCATTTACAGGCATCTGCAGTAGTTTGGGAACTTCACTCTGTCCTTCAGGTAATCTCAGTTCCTCTGCAACTCCCAATAGGTAGGCATGCCATTGTCTGAGTGTGGTTTGTGCAACTGCAACCTGAGAGCCTTTGGGTTCCTTTAGGGGATCCATCCCACTCTTTGGGATACTGTCCAGTCAATTGAATGGATTGAATGGATGGTTTGTACTGCTTGGTCTTGATCAGTGTTCTTGATCAGTGTGCTCTGTTTGTTTTACTGCTGGGACCAAAGACAAGAGTCCCTTTTCCCACTCAGAGGATGTTGGTTCAAAGTCTTTGAAGGAGGCAGCTTGAACATTAAAGTTCTTTTTTGGACCAACAGTGCCAGTTTGACGAGGTCACAGGAAGAGCCCTGCTCAGCAAAACCCCCTTCTTCTATGGAGAGTGGTGGGGATGTACAGGCCCCAGTGACTGGTCTGGTTTTAATTCCTGTATTAGGTACTTGATTCCTGTATTAGGTATTAATACCTGTATCAGGTGTTCCTGTATTAGGAATTAAAACACAAGAAAGAGGCTGCCTGCAGAAGTGGTTGTGTCACCATCCCTGGAGGTACGTAACAGACATGTTCTAAGAGATATAATTGATGTGCTGACTTGCCAGTGTTAGGTTAATGGTGGACTCGATGTTCTTAACGGACTTTTAAAACCTAAATGGGTTTGATTCTACATTTAGGTCTTTTCCAACCTCAATGGTTCCATGATTCTAAAGGATCTTCTTGCTCAGAGCAAACTCTGTCTCTCCTCAGAGAAATGGCACTGCAGGAAGGCAATGTGTCTGCCAGCTGAGGAGGGAGCATCAGTGCCTGCTCCAGGCTGTTTCCCATGGGGTTCCCTGGAGCCCCAGGGAGCCCTGGGGGGAGCCCAGCGGGGCAGAGGCAGAGCTGGGCCTCTGCTGCTGAGCTGGGCCGGGCTCCTGGGACGCAGATAGATGCTGGCAAGCGGCAGTGCTGCAGAGAGACAGCTCTGCTGAGGAGCAGGGCTGGGGCACTGCCTGCAGGCCCCCAGGGCAGAGCTGCCAGCCTCAGAGAGCTTAAAGGCACTGGGCAGTGGAGGATGCTGAGAGCTCCCTGCAGGAGAAACCTTCCCAGCCCTGTGCATGGTGAGGCTCTGGGTGCAGGGCAATGCAGCTGCAGCTCCTGCAGGGATCTCCTCCAGCTGCTGCCTCGCACAGTGCATGGCATCTGTCAGGAGCTCTCTCTCGGTCTCTCTGTGTAGGTAAGGAGGAGGATGTGCTGCAGAGCAGGGCTTCCCTCTGCACCATGCAGGGCCAGGACAAGGCAGGTCCCTTGTCCCGGGGCTGGCTGCAGGCTGTGAATGTGGGTGTGCAGGCAGGGGTGCCCAGCGCTGCCCTTGCAGCAGGGTCCCTGCAGCCCAGCAGGGACAGCTCCAGGCAGCAGAGCCATGGGCAGGGAGTGGGGGGAAGGTGCAGCCCCGCGCTGGGGAGGGTGCGTTCAGGCAGCTCTCTTGGGGTCTGGCACTGGAGGTGGCTGCTGGCCCTGCTCTGCTGGGCACAGTCCTTTGCTTCTCCTCATCAGAGCTCCGTCGTCTGCCCTTTGACATTGGGCACCCCGGCTCTCAGCACAGGGCAGATATTGCCTGGGCATTTGTGTTTGTGTGTGAAGGCATCTTACAGGCACTGCAAGTGGAAGCAAAGGGCCAATGGGAAAGGAGTGATGGACACTGGAGCTCTCTGGGCTATGTACTAAGCTGCAAAACACTCAGACTTTTTGCCTGATGCAATGCTCTTCTGATTGTATGTATGAAGGAAGCCCAGCGGTATAATGCCATCACTGGTGATGACCCTGAGCCTCTCCTCTCCTCCTATGATGTGCTCAGAGCCGTAAGTGTGTAAATGGAACTTGTGTATCTGACATTCCTCCTGCCCTACCCTGTCCCTGCCCTTTTCTCCTGTTTCAGTGCCCCATGCCCAGAGGCAGCAGATGTCCAACGGCAGCTCCATCACCCAGTTCCTCCTCCTGCCCTTCGCAGCCACGCGGGAGCTGCAGCTCTGCCACTTCTGGCTCTTCCTGGGCATCTCCCTGGCTGCAATCCTGGGCAACGGCCTCATCATCACCAGCACAGCCTGCGACCGGCACCTCCACACCCCCATGTACTTCTTCCTCCTCAACCTCTCCCTGCTGGACCTGGGCTGCATCTGCACCACTGTCCCCAAATCCATGGCCAATTCCCTCTGGAACACCAGGGCCATCTCCTACACAGGCTGTGCTGCACAGCTCTTTTTCTTTGTCTTTTTTATCACATCTGAGATTTATCTCCTCACCATTATGTCCTACGACCGCTATGTGGCCATCTGCAAGCCCCTGCACTACGGGACCCTCCTGGGCAGCAGAGCTTGTGTCCACATGGCAGCAGCTGCCTGGGGCGCTGGGTTTCTCACTGCTCTGCTGCACACAGCCAATACGTTTTCACTGCCCCTCTGCCGAGGCAATGCTGTGGAGCAGTTCTTCTGTGAAATCCCCCAGATCCTCAAGCTCTCCTGCTCACATTCCTACCTCAGGGAAGTTGGGCTGCTTGGGGTTGGTGCCTGTCTCACATTTGGCTGTTTTGTGTTCATTGTGGGGTCCTATGTGCAGATCTTCAGGGCTGTGCTGAGGATCCCCTGTGAGCAGGGACGCCACAAAGCCTTTTCCACGTGCCTCCCTCCCTTGGCCGTGCTTTCCTTGCTTCTCAGCACTTCAGGATTTGCCTACCTGAAGCCCCTCTCTGCGTCCTCCCCATCCCTGGATCTGGTGCTGTCAGTGCTGTACTCGGTGGTGCCTCCAGCAGTGAACCCCCTCATCTACAGCCTGAGGAACCAGGAGCTCAAGGATGCTGTGAGGAAGCTGGTGGCTGGATGTGTGTCCTGGTTTCAGCAGTAGCAGTTCTTTTTTCTCCTTAGTTGCTGCTGCAGCGCTGTGGTTTTGACTTTCGGCCTGGGATCTGCACTGATAGCACTGATGTTTTTAATTGCTGCTCTAATGTTTGGTCTGCCCAAGGCCTTTGTGAGCCTCACGCTCTGCCAGGGAGGAGGGAAGCTGGGAGGAAGCAGGGACAGCACACCTGACCCAAACTGACCAGAGAGGTATTCCATACCACAGCACGTCATGCCCGGGATGTAACGGGGAGTTACCTGGAAGGGCGAGGAGAACTGCAGGGTTGGACGAGGTATCAGTCGGTGCTCAGTTGGGCTGGGGGGGGCGAGTCATCAGTCAGTGGGTGGTGAGGTGTTGTATTCTCTTCCCTTGTTATTTCCCTTATCATTATTATCATTGGTGGTAGCAGCAGTGATTTGTGTTATACCTGAGTTACTAAACTGTTCTTATCTCAGCCATTGGAAGCTGCATTCTTTTGATTCTCCTCCCCATCCACATGGGAGGAAAAGGTGGGCAAGAAAGGGGGAAGTGGGGTGGGCTGAGAGAGAGACTGTATGGCTGGTTTGTCAACAGGGCTTAAACCATGAAAAGTACATATAGAGAACTTTACAATAAAGTTGGATTTCATCTGACATCCCTTGTAAACAAGAGGGCTTGGCAAAACACTGCTGCAGAGATGAGTCCCATTCAATCTGGCCTTGAACGCTGCCATGGATGGGGAAGCCACAGCTTCTCTGGGCACCCTGTGCCAGTGTCACACCAACCTCCTCAATCATTTATCAGCTCAGAAAGAGATTTAAGGCAAAAAAAACCTTATTTTCTTACAATCGCAGAATCATTTATTTTGAAAATGGCCCTTTGAGAACATCGAGTCGAGCCAGTAACCTGTCAATGGCAAGGCCACACACTGAGCATGAGAACATCTTTGGTGGGATACCCTGGTTGGATGGTCACCAACAGCAACCGGGACTTTAAAGGTGAATTTTAGATCCTACCTCCTTGCTGGTGGTCTTTTGGGGGGACACCTCAAATTAGGCATCCCCCCAATTCTGGGGCTGCCCCCTCTGGCTCCCTGATACCAGAGGGCAGGGGGAGTTGGGACGGGCCATGGAATGTGGTTTGGGGGCAACAAGGAGCAGTTTGGGGCTGGGTGGTTTTGGGGGTGATTCGGAGAAAACTGCAGGAACAAACTTGCCAACACAGTTTTCAAGCTGACAAGCTGGTATTCTTTATTGCGGCGCCGGGAGACACGGGGGACAGCTCCTCCTAACGTGTGTCCCCGTACTGCTATACAAGCCACCCTTATATAGTCCCTGGGCATACATACATATTCATGAGGCTACGTATGCATTACATCATTATGCAGAGAGTTCCCCCCATGCGTACAGAATTGTGGTGCTGGTCTCTGAGGGTCCTTTACTTCTTCCAACGATCTTCATCACTTCTGGCAGCCTTTGAAGCACGCGCAGTAGATGCTCATACCAGTTTAATTGGTTCGTTAGCACCACAGACATAATAATCCTCCCAGCCTCCTACTTATCAGTTATTTAACTGCAGCCCATGCTGGACACCTGCAGTTCCCAGATACCCCTTATCCCTGTGTCCTGTTCTTCCTGACTGTTTCTCTTAAAACTATGCCAACTATAACAATTTATCTTGTGAGAATTCTCACTATGTTCTCTAGCTGTACCCTATTTTTTTCTCTATGTATCACGCACCTCAATAATTTTCCATTGCTGCCGTTACAAAGCCATCAAACTTAGCATTACTAAAACTAATTCTAAAGGTTTCTATATTCCATTTTGTGATCTTTTGCCACTTTGTCTCGGGGGGAAGGAGCTTTTTAGGGGCACCCCCACTTGGGGGCAGGGTTGTTTGGTGGGACCCCTCCAGGATTTTGGGTCCCTGGGTTCATTTGGCAGGGCCTGTGGTGATGGTGGTGTGAGGTATATAGGAATGATTCGTGTCAGCAATTTAGGAATTCTTATCATCAGTGTACTTTGGGAGGAATTGAAAATCCTTGAAATCATTGTATTGTGTGTAGAATGTGTAAGAATGATCAGATTATGATAGATGTTCCTGTCAATACAATGATGAAAGAGAAGAAGAAACAAAGGAACAATCCTTCCTAATCAAACGCTTTGTTACTTTAAGGGGTACTTTGTTTAACTACTTGAATGTCTCAAACACTGCTTATTACAGGGGTACTTTGTTTAACTGCTTGAATGCCTTGAGGGGGTTAGGTGATCAAGAGATACCTTCTGGTACAGGATGAGGTGAAACTTGTGTATTGAATAAGTAACTATATAAGAAATGGAATTTAGGGGGGCTAAGATGTTGGTTAAGCTTGTGACAGACATCCCCTGTTAATGGGGGATTGCCAAGGAATTCAATGACTTTTTAAGAAGTTTCTTCACCCAAAGATAAGACCCCAGCAACAGGAGGAGAACAATGAAAAGGAACCACGTCGATATTTGGGTGAAGGAGACGACAGGATTGGCTGAAACCCAAGACCGAGGAGTAGAAGAGCCTGTACCCCAGAACTCTCGGTGTGCGTCTTGGGTGGAGCGGAGACTCCCCGGGGCACCCAGCGCTGCTTGCTTATTGCCTCTCCATATTAATCCACTGTAATAAACAATTAATTAAATGAGATCATGGCCAAGATGGAATTGATATAACAGTGGGTTGCAGTTCAGTTTAGGGGTGCTACAGGCCCCCCATTTGGGGCTCCTGCCTGCTTGTCTGTTGCTTCAAGGAGATTTGGGGTACCCCAGGATTTTGGAGGACACCACAACTACTTTGGGTATCTCCAGGGCCCTTTGGGTGGGCAGTGACATTTTGGGGCACCCCTTTATTGGGGTTCCTCTTTTGAAGAGTCCCCTGAATTCACTACTGAACCCAAAGCAACGTTGGGGTCTCCACAGTGGATTTGAGGTCCCACAGCATTTTGGGGACCCAAGGGCAGGTACCGGGGGGACCCCACTTTTCAGACCACCCCTTTCTCAGGGGCTCCTGGCTGCTGCGCTGAGCCGGGGTGGATTTGGATCTGCAGAGTTTGTGTTGGGGGGATTTGGGGCTCCCTGGTGGGATTTTGGGGTGCGGGGGTGCTCGGTTCAGGGGTGCCAGGTTCGGGGTCCCACCTGGCTGCCTGGGAGCCTCTTGAGGTGCTTCTGGCGCAGCTCCTTCAGGTCCCGGCGCTGCTGCTGCAGCAGCTTCACGTCGGCCTCGTGCTGCCGCAGCCCCTGCAGTGACTGCGGGGACAGCTCTGCAGAGGGGGGGTGCAGGGGCCAAAGCTCCCCAGGGGCAGGAATCTGGGGGACCCCCATGTCCCTCAGTGCAGGCACCTTTGTCCCTCGGCACCCTGAGTCTCACCGGTTGCCCTGTGCTTGCCCATGGCAGTAAGTGGGGGGAGTTTGAGGGTTCAGAGGAAGATTTGGGGATTCAGGGGTGTTTTGGGCTTTGGGGAGGTCCCCGAGACTCTCCAGGGTGTGCAGGGATTTAGGGGACCCCCCCCTCCTCTTGAAAATGGAGGATATATCCATTCCAGGACACCTGGGGCATCACTGGATGCCCCATGTGGTCCCTTTGCCATAAATGTGTGGAATTTGGGGCTTCAGAGGGATTTGGGGGTTCATGGGAGATTTCAGGGTTCATGGGGTGGTCTCCAAAATTCCCCAATAGCAGGCACAATAATTTGGGAGATGGCCCGAGTGCATCTGACGGTGTATGATGCTTTGTCATGCTTCCCTTTGCTTTGCTTTGCTTGCCCAGAGGAACCATCCTGCTCTGCCCGTGTGCAGGCAGGTCTCTAAGGCAGCCAGGCTGGGAGCTGGGGCACAAGAGGTGACGATGAGAGCAATGTTGGGCGGGGAGTGAGGAGCGAGGTGCTCAGTGCAGCGCTGGACCTTAAGGGCTGCTTTTCCTGCCTGTGCAGGGCTCTGGGAGAGGCACTTGGGATCAGTGGCAATGGAATAGAAATTTCTAAACTGAAAGGTGATAAAATAAACCCTTTCAAATAACTTCTATCAGATGTTCTTTGGAATCTTCCTGCACATGGAAACCTTCCCAATTCCCTGGAAGACAATCTGGAAGATTCAACAAAATCCACAGGGTGAGACATGGCTCCTCAGGGTTTAATGAGCCCCATGGTGTATTTGGGCCGAGTCCATGAACCTCCGGTACTGAGAAGAGACTGATGAAACCTCTCCAGAAGTCCAAATCAGAAACAAAGCCCCGAGTCCCTTCAGCATTAATGGGCCCCACTGGGAGCTGTTGCTGACAAAGCCTCCCCAGGGACTCGTTAAAGCAAGTAAGTGGAGGCTGTGATTACAGGGAGACAAAGGCAAAATGCAGGTGTCTGATGGTGAGGAAACCCTTGGTTTGTTTGACAGAGCAGAAAGGCCAAGCCCTGACCACAGCCCTTGGAAAGCAGAGCCCGAAATCCTGAGAAAGAAAGTTCTCCTCATAGGTCTTGATGAAAGAGGAGCTGCCATAGCCCAGGGCACAGAGGCCTTTTGTTCTCTTGGTCCTTTCAGCCTGGCCACAATCCTGTCATCTGCGCTGCAGGCTGTCCTACACTGGCCCATGCCTGCACCTCTTTCCCTTCAGGCTGTTGACACCCACCTAGCTCTCACCTGTGACATCATAGACCCTGTTGTGACATCATGGACCCAATTGTGACATCATTTCTGTACCTTCAGTCACATCTCTGCACCCGTCGCTGTCTGTTCCTTGAACACACAATGCCCTGGGCTGAGCCAGACTCCCTCTGGGTGACCTCTGGCACCACAAGTCCACCTTTCCAGAGACATTTCCCTTTCCTAACTTGGAGTCTGAACCTTCCAGGCTGCACTTTGCAGAGGTTTCCTTCTCTTCCTGCTAGCAAGAAAATCCCCATTATGCTTGAAACCACCATTACAGTAGTTGGTGGCTGCTACTATAGTGTCAATTCAGCAGGTGGAGGGAACATCCCTCAGCAAGGCCATCTAAAAGAGGCTTCTAGAGGA